AATATAATGTAAAATCGTATTTACGATTAAGAGCGCTAATATAATATTTTACACAACAACATGTTTTAATATTATATAATTTTTACAACACCAATAAATTTCAAACGTTTGTGTATAGACTGTACAAAATAAATATAAAAAATATTGACAGTTATGTTTGGTTTTAAATTGTAACCAGTGGGAATACTGAGCATTTTCAATTCTGTTTGCTGCAGAATATCATGGCATGAGGAAGATTTTTGAAAGGGGGAAACCTGAATCACAAACTAATAATGGAAGTATTTGATGAAATTCCCAGTGAATCCAAATCGTTCACTTCAGATGACAATAGTGAAACTGAAGATGTCTTTACAGACATATCAGACATATTGCCTGTGCCACAAAATATAACTGTATCTTCAGGACACTCACTTGTAGATCTCAGCAGTCCTGTGCCACAGAATATACTTGGGTCTTCAGATCACTTAGCTCCCAGCAGCATTCCTATGCAATATACTTCTGACAGTGACAATGAAGATGATGTGCCACTAGTGAACAGGTTTGGAACCAATGTCATTTTCTGGCAGAAGCATATTATGCCACCGGAAGTGAGGGATTTTAGCGAAGAATTTGGGGCAAATATACCAGACACTTGTGAATCTCCTATAACTGGAAATTATTGACATCTTTAACAGTGTAGGCCATTCTGTACTGTCAGTCAAAATTTCTTATTTAATTAATGGCGTATTACATGCGTGTTGAAATGGTAATACATTCTTTCCTCAAAATGGCATTGACAGTGTTGATGACATCGCCCTCATCAAAATAATATGTAATTGTATTCTGCCCAGGAAATAGTTTTCATAGAGTAAGGTGTAGTTTCATGAGACTTTGTACACGGTTTTATGACCAGGAAAGTTAGGTTAAGGCTTTTATGTACTTTAATGGAATATTTCTTAATGTGTCATAGATTAAGAGTAACTGACATGGGAAAAAATGTATTGTTTGTGCATTGCTTATGCACAGGTTAACCTGTGATCAGCAGCGTACGAAGCTTTGATGGAAATGGTGAAGAACTCTCCACGAGACTGCTTCGTAGCTGTGCAGAATACCACAATGGATATTTTGGAGCGACTGCAACAGGTGCTGCAGTTGAAAACGCCCATTCAGAGCCACAGTGACCGAGCGCAGTACAATAACTTGCAGAGCCTCCTCTGTGCAACTTTGCAGGTGAGACAGTGACCATTTGCCTTCATCTACTGCAGAGATTAAGAATGCAGCTCCACCTATAGGTATTCCTTTTAGTGTGATGATTCCCTTATCTAATACTAGAGGTTCTGAAAGGTTTCCAAACGTGGGGCCACAGTCACCCTTTCTTATCAACTCAAAGTTCACAAGGTTATGAGTGAAGTGCTTTGACAGTTTGTTGAAATGCCACGATATTTCATTGAAAATGCTGTTAAATTAGGCCTTCTGTTGCAGACAAGTTCAGATGTTCAATTTTGTGTAATAGAATCTGTTATTGATAAGATATTTGATACTGTGTTTGCTTGGGTAATATATGTAATATATATAATATAGTTTTGTTAAACATGTTGGTATCAATATTGCAGAGTTTGCTGAGAAAGGTAACTGTAGAGGATAAGCGCCAACACTCAGATGCTATCATGACTACGCTTCTTCAGATATTCAAATCCAATTGGTGGAAGACAGGCGGTGTCCAGGAAGATACACTAAAGTTAGTGTCCACACTAGTACAGGCGTTAGGAGAGAGTTCATGAAGTACATGGAAAAGTTTAAACCCTTCCTTTGTCTTGGTCTTAAGAACCATGCTGAATATCAGATACACATGTACATTTGTACCTGTGCTCCATCTGGCCTTTCAGTTGTTTCACGCAGTCTCTCCACAATAAACTGAAAGCATTCTGATAAGCAGGAAGTTTCTGGCTGTGCCTGATGCTTATTTCTTTCTGCCTGCTTATAACTTGCCTCTGCCAAGCAATTAAACGTCCAACATACTTTTTTTGCAACTTTGGCTTCTTCTTTCAGTCCATCGAATAGAATATGCACAAACTGTTTCAAGTGCATCGCATAAATGGCTACATAGGTGCTAACCTCACACATACAACAAAATGTCCATGTTGCAGTATCCCTCACTACAACACTAGTGTCGCACATAGCCTCCATCAATATTGGCATTGGAAGATTTGAGGTTTTCACAGCGTTGAGTATTAAGATTTCTGTCTTCTGGGTTGTTACGCTGTGTAGTCTGGTCGATGTTAACCAACGTTTCAGAGGTCATACTGCCTCCATCATCAGGGCGATGAGTATGAAGATTTCTACAACAGATTTGTGTAAATCCCCAGAATCAAATTTCATTCAATTACATTCGGATACTTAGGAAATAAAGCATGGGAACAAACATAAATTCACCTGCATTGTGTCATTCTATGCAAAGAATGCATAGTAAGAAGAAACTACAGCAAGTATGACCATGTTAATTCGAAGAGGAAAAGTAAAGTCCAAATTCTGATTAATGAACTGATTAACACTCTGATATTCTACCATATTAATGTTCTCAACTAACCTGCTTTGTAAGTCTCTGCAATAAAACAGGAACAACAAACTGTAGTGCTCCATTTAAATAGAACGTACAAGACCTTTGGCGTATCCGTCTCACACCATAGTCCCCTAAGTACAAGTCCATTTCTTGATCACTCACGACGGACCAGAAGTCAATGCCTTGTATCGCAACCTCATCAATAACTGATTTCATACCTTCCACGGTGATCAGAATTAATGACTCCCCCATGTATGTTTCCATGTATTCGTAATAGAGAGACATAATCTTTAGTAGACATTGTAGCGCTGCAACTCGAACCTGCATGTCTGAAGACTGCGCAGCTCCACAAACTCCCTCCATTATAGAGTTACGTTCAGACTGACAAAGAAAACATACAAATATAATTATAAAGGCTGACATTCATCAGTAATTACTTTAAGTACCTAATTTTCCTGAAAGTTTAATTACCGCAGATACGATTCTTATTACTGCAGCAGATAACCTACTGTTGAAAAACAAATTACAATACAATGTACAGCCTCAAGAATGAATTTTCTTCAAATTTCATAAAACATTTACCACATTAAAAATGTTGCAAATAAAAGTTTTTGTACATAATGAGATATCCTCAGAGTAGCATATGAAATGATCCCTCACTTCAACTGATCATAAAATGGCAAGTTTTGTTAAGGACCAAGTTAGAATTTGTACAGCAGTGGTCCCCAACGCGGTGCCCGCCAAGGCTTTTTTCTTGGGTGCCCACATTCTTACGGAAAGAGGTCATACTGAATAATGAGGGCCGTTCAACCACCAACATTATAAAATCAAAGCACAGATCTCGATTTGCTGACGCCCATCTTGACGATTGTTTGCGATAAGCAACATCATCCTACACCCCCAAATTTGAAAAACTGGCCGATGAAATGCAGCTCCAAACATCACACTAACTTCCCACTTGAGTAATAATAATTGTAATTATAAAACTATGTTTTTTTGATTGCATGGTATCTTGTATCATTAAACGTCATGTTGTTTTGTGTATTATTTGGTGTCCATATCTTATTTGTCCAGAGAAAAGAAAATTTGGCTTTTGCTAATTGGTTGGTGCCCGCCACGATCTCATAAATTCCCAAATGTTCCCGTAGGCCCAAAAAGGGTGGGGACCACTGATGCACACAAATGTGTTACCTCATGAAGATACCATCAGGAGGCACTTCCATAAAATGTTGTTACCAAGAGCATGTACACCTATTACAAAGACTGACAAAAGGAGACTGTCCATAAACCTAAGAGCACGACCCACTTTGTTCTTAGCTTAAAACAGTACAGTGGCAATGCAGAGATGTCTAAGTCCTCATTTTCCGATGCGGCGGGCACTTTCTCGACAGTCCCGATAAAATACTTTGGTTATGAAGCAAAAATATCCTGATCAACAAAACAAGCAGTTGCAGAATTAGCAATATGAGATGATCTCTCTAATGAATTCCACAATTAAATATGATCACGTACCTACACAAAAGAAGAGTAATGTACAAATCTTACCGCACGTGATTGACAGTAACTAGAGCTTGCTGTATGAAAGAGCCATACTGCATAAAATGTCTTTTGAATGAGGTATATTTCTACCTGGACAGAATAGTCCCAAAGTTTTACTTCTGGGCTATGGAAAATCTGCACGTGTTTAACAAGAAACTGCCGCTGAGATTACAATGTGGGCTGCCATATAAAGCCATGGGCCATCTCCAAGGCTTGATGTTTGTTTGAATGTTTGGGGACTATTTCATGCATCAACCTTGCATTTTGCCATAAACCAAATTATAAGCAGATTTGATTAAATAAGTAAAGTTTGATATCAGCTTTAGTAGAGTTAATATGAACAAAAACTATATCATTCAGATAGATTTTAATGTATACTTCCAATATAACACTTTACTGAAATCTTTCAGATGAAACATGCACAAATTAAAATTAATTTTATGCACTTCATGAAAGGAACAAAATAAAAAGCAAACCAGAATACAATTAATGCTGAAACTGTCGTACAAGCAAACATACCTCTTTATCAAAATTTGCTCTAGTAAATTCAAGGGAATTGAGGAGGGCGGTTGTCGCAGCTAACCGAACGTGGTTGCTCGGCTCATTCTGACGCATTCCGTGAATAATAGCAGTCAATATCTGATTTGATTGTGCAATTAACACTTCATGTTCCTGTAAATAAAAATTAGACATTTTGAAATCAGCTTTCTTAAAATACAGCGTCCACTTTTAAAAGTATTCTATGCATAACTCTTCAGCGTGGATACACAGGTAACCCTCGACTTACGCCGGAGATGCGTTCCTGGATGAACCAGTGTAAATTGAAACTCTTTTATCATGTAAATCAATGGGAAGTCAATGACATGCGCTCCCAGCACACAAACATTGACGAGTAATATAATGGCATTATATTTAAAGCTCTGAAATAACGTAAATAAAATAAAGGGTATTTAAAAAATATATTTTATACAGATTTCAGTCTTCTGGGTTGATGCGCTGTGTAGTCTGG